AAAATTTAAAGTTTCAGAAAAATCAACATAAACAATTTCTTTTTTTATCTCCCTCATATATGAAAATCACATAAAGCAAACAGAACAAAAATGGAGGAGCCAGCTCTAAAGCAGCCATCTCAAGGAAATAATTTATCTACTCTCATCCTTTCAACTCCAAGCTTCTCCTCCAGGAAGGATGGTATTAAAATTTACTTTCTTTTGCTAGCTAGCATGTTTAACTTTCACATTCTTCCTAAGCCAATTCAGAAAATATTCAATCAGTCTCCTTCAGCCTCATTTGTGGACAGTTTACTGGGAGAGAAGCAACATTTCATTAGACATAATAAAAAAGTGAAAGTATTTCTTTTTATTTTTACATGCCGTCATATTTTCATGAAGAACTAGGGAAAAATAATTAGAGATTTGGTGCAGGAATTACTTTGTCTCTGTCTTTTTCAGGATGGATTAAAGACCAGTAACTCACAAAGACGGAGCAGGAAAGAAGATGAAAAGAAGAAGTTGAGCGTTTTTTTTTTTCCCCCTATAAGCTTTCTTCAAGTGAAAGTTTCCACACTGATACTGATTTTCAAAGAGCCTGCATTTAAGCAGCACAGACACCATGTAACTAATGTATATTTCTAATAGCAATGGATCTAATTTCCACTATGTGGAGATAATTTTGCAATTTCTTCACTACACATAATTCTTCCACAGCTATTAATGAACAAGCAACATCTGTTCCTAGCTATAAATCTGTCATGTCACCAGCAAACCTCAACAAGACGACATTACTAGTGTGGAACTCTAAAGCCACAATTTCACAGATAAAAACAATATGTTCTGTAGAACAGCTGCCAGGTCATCTCTAGTTTACCTAAAATTGGACAGCGGGATAAAAGATCCTTACCTTTCCTGTTTGCAAAATTCTTACACACCTTAACGTTTCAAGACACAGACTTCTGTGTAGAAGACTTCATCTTCAGACATGTGAGAGTAAGGATGTGATCTTTCTTTCATTTTTTCTTAAGAGACTGTACTTGGTCAACAGCCAGTCCAGTACTCTAATGTCAAGCTTAATGCTATGGTGTTTCTAGCTTGGGTACCATTAAATTTGCATTCTGCTAGCATGGCTAGGGTATTAAATTCTTCTTTAGTTTGTTCCTTGGATGTCTGTTAATGTAATCTGCCCATAAATTCTGAAGATAGAGTGAAAATCCACTCCAGAATCTTTAGGTTATTTTCTTTCAAAAATTAAATACAAGAGAATAACAACAACAACAAAAAATTAGATATTCATGTAGGCAGTTCATTATATTTCCTCAATGAAAAGAGAGCTAAGGGAAATTTTCATCTGTTGGGAAGAACAAAACAGATACTGTAATTCAAAGTCTTATTTCTTGAATTATCTATTTGTGTCACATCACATATTACATCTGAATCATTTTTAATACTGATAATACACGCACAAATCTTAATTAGTAATTAGCTTGGGGAATGCAGTAAAAAAAGGGTTCTGCCTGACACACCTGCTTCATGTGAAACTTAAAAGTGGGTTATGTTTAGTCCTATATTTAGAGTGGTATTATTATGGGGTAGGACAACTTAGTAATCAGCTTACTTGGTAGCAAAGAAGATTGAGGCTAGATACTACAGAAAGCTTTCCAATTAGAAGGATAATTAATGCTAGAAAAGACTACCTAGAGGTGGCTCAGTAAAAACCTGCATTTGAGATTTTCAAAAACAGATTAGGCAAGTACCTGTTTAATGTGTCTAATCCTATCCCAGAGCAGATACGAGATAAATGACCTCATGAAGTCCCTCCTGCCCCCTTAGTTTTGCATATCAGTGTCATGGAAAATCAGAAACATCCATAGGCCAACAAAGGAATGTTGCTGACAAAAGCTTCTGCACATCTCTTCATATGGATCTATTTTTCTGCATACCAAGGAAAAGACAAAAAAGTTTTTCTTTGCACTTCAGTTTGCAGAAATTGCAATTGAAATGTAGGAAACCTGCATGTGTCTTGCTCTACTGAAAAAGTTTCTTTCACTCATTACAACAGTGGTAGTAGTATATGATTACTAAATTTCTGCACAAATATGTTATAATGTCTATGCTCTAGATACATCTGTGTCATATTTTAAATTGCTGTTATTTTCAGCAACGGCAATTAGATCTATGGCCGATTGACTACTTCTGAAGATGTTTCTGATGTTAGAAGTCCTAGAAGTCTACAATAGTTGAATGGGCTATCTCTGGAAACTATTTGACTTCATAATATTATTCACATTTGACAATACATTTTCTGTGTTCCATATGCAAAAATAAGTAATTAGATGGTGATTGAATGACAGCTTATATGATGTCATTAGCCTTACTTTCTGCATTGCAGATTCCTACAACAGAATTTTTTTCAACTCTTAAAAACACTGCATTTTGATACTTAGTACTCCTTACAATAGGATGATGAATAGGAGGATTTTATCATCCCATAGTCCATTTCTTGGTGCATTGCATTTGCACAGGATTCCTATCAGTACAGAAGCTTATTCAAAATGAGACGCTGCAGCATTTAAAGGCCCCATTGCACCCACTTAGCTGGTGAAGTCAAGATATCTCACACCTGTTGGAACTTGTACAGATGCAAAGATGCAACAAATGCCATACATTGCCATCTGCTTAACATGGAGAGAGTAGTTGCAACTTGCTCCTGCCTTGAGAATTACCATGCATGTGCTGATACATGTGCCTGCGCTTCTAACTGCAGCAGAACAAGAGTTAGATGTACATGTTGCCGTGACATGGAGAGTTCAGGGGTGCTAGCTCATCCATGGTTCCGTTGCTCATGTTTATAATTAAATATTAAAATTAATAAAAACACTGTAGTTCCCTGGTACTTTTTTTCCTGTGAAACTGCACAACAGTGGGGATACATCTTAAGAATGCAGATGCATTTAGTTTTTAGAAGTTTTGTGCAAACAGCAGGAACTAATGCGGGGCATTTAGCTGCTATTATTTCTTTACAATACAGAGGTAATGTTATAAAATCATGAAGCGAGTGTACTTAGCAGTGAGTTCTTTGAGCTAGCTACTAGGAATTGCCATCAGGAAGACGAGTTCTTAAATGCTACTTCTCTGAAAGTTAGTACCTTCCTGGCAAGACAAGGAGACAGCTCTCTCCACTTACAAGGCTCAGCTCCACACCTTTTTTTAGCACTCCTTTCAAAAAAAACAAAGGGTATTTCTCAAAGGCAGCTAAAGAAAGAAAAGAGTGAGGACACCCCTCTGATCCATTCCCTGTCGCCAGTCTTGCTGATGGCCTCCCCTATCCTCCTCACACAACTCTGCTCACTCCTAAGAGCATTTAGTCAGAAGACTCAAGTCCTGTTATCTTCTCATTCTTGACTTTTAAATCTTTTCCCAAGTGTTGTAGCCAGAGTGGACTATCAGACTCTGCCTCAAGCGGAGTTAATGAACATTAAATGGACTGTGAACACAATCTTGCAATGCTGGAGCTGTCACTGGAAAGAGACAGGGGTCCCAGCTTCCATGGCAGCAAGGTTTCCAACAGCTACTTAACGCACATTTCGCTCACTTCTTGCTGACAAGGAAGAGGAACACTCTTTAGTGCTGGATCAGCTGCTGCATGCCATGAGATGGGATAACTCCAACCCTCTGCAATCAGTTACAGGGAGGTTTTGTTGGATGCCAATATACATCACAAGCACAGATCAATTAGACTTGGACAGAGCCGCAAAGTAATAGCCAACACTTCATCATGTGCTGGCTTCCTACTCTGAAGAACTGGCATAGCACACACAACAGCTACTGTGAAGCCGGTCACAGCTTCATGCAGGCAATATGGCAGGTAGTGTCATCAATGTTAGTGCATGTCCTGTAATCATCAAGTGCTCTGTTCTCATAACCGCCCAGCACATCAAAGCATTAAGTGCTTAGTTCTGTGGGAAGAAAGATATTGATGTCCCCCAAATTTAATCAGTCATTGATTTCTTCATCAAATATCTCTTCCAGATCTATTTTTGCAATATTTGTTTCCCAAAACAGAGCTAATTTTTTTTGTAACACAAGATCTCTAGCTCATCGGTTATGAAGTACCTGCTTATATAAAGGGTTTGTGCAGTGGAAAAACAATGTCACATCCCTATGTCTGGTTTGCTAACTGGCATCAAGAAGAAAAGTGGATCTGTTATCTATATTTAAATTAGAATGCAATATGCTCCTATTTTAATATACACACTGAAGGTATAAAATCCCCACAGAAGTTTTTGGTCATGATAGGAAACCTTTTAAGTATTCTCTTTATTCATTTTTTTTTTTATTTTAAATTATAGGTTAAAAATTAAGATTAAAATCCAAGATTAAAAAACATTTACCAGACCTTTGAAATTGTTTAGAGGCATTCTTTAGAATAAACTCTGTTTTTAGTGATTATAGGAAATCTTTTTCAAGGATTTTCTTAGAATTAAGATAAACATCAGTTAGGGGAAAGACAACAAGTATACCCATGAATTGTGCCAAAATCAGAATTCTACATCTCACTCCTGTAATACTTAAATTCCTGCAGAATTACTAGTTAGCCAGATTTTGGCTTAGGGACCTTCCTTACTTCCTAATACGTGTATCTCCTAAAACAGTTCACACAGTTCTCCTCAAAACAAGTGCTAAGAAAAATGTGGCAAGCTCCTGTCATGAACAATTCCCATATGTTATCAGAAAAGGACTTAAAGAATTGCTAGATTCTCTTCTGGCAAGATACACGTACCTGGGAATTGGAGAGGATATGGTATTTCAGTGCTCAGTACAACAGCTTATAGGACCAATTTTAAAAGTATTAAATGAAGGGAAGCATATTTTATGACCCATAGAAAAGATGGGCAGCACGACTCTGTTTTGAGCAGGCAGAGAAGAACAGTGACTTAGCTCATCTTTAGCCTCTGTTCCCAAGTCTGAAGTTCAAAGGGAGAAGCCCACTGCCGTGACAATCAGTCCATACTTACCAGCACAGATGAACATAAAGTCAGTTGGAGTGTCTCTGACCATAATTCAAATGAAGAAGGAAGTCAGTGAAGAATAAAAATAATAATAATAAAAAGAACATGATGGAGACAAAGGGACTAATGGAGGAGGAGAGGTTAAAAAAAATCATAATGGTTAGCTTGGCTAATGATTACCCGGAGAGAAGTGATACTCATGTACAAATATTTGAAGAACACTACATTCAGAGAGAAACAGATTTGGGGGATGAGAGGAAATAAACAGAATTTGTCAGATAAATGCAAAGAACGTATTTGGGCAGAATATTTATTTTTTCACTAAAGCTTAAACTGATTTTATTTGTTTTGTTAGCATTGTGCACAGATTTAATAGAGGACACTTAAGGTGGCCATAAATCTCTGCAGTGAAGCAGCTGCACGCTTCCTCACATCAATGAAAAGCAGCCCCGTGGTTCATGGCACAACCAGAATGAAACTGTTGAATAAATCAGCATGTTTGGGGGAAAGCAGGGAGAACTGGCATCATGAGCTCTACAATACAACTCTTTGCTGAAGTTGATCTTTACCAGAGCTGTGTGAACAGCCGATCATCCTGTTTGATCCCAGTTCCACAGCCAACAGTTGAAAATGTGGTTTGTGTTAAACTGAGAGCTCCACTTTGTTCCCAAGCTTTCCTTTTAAAGCCTTTATTTCACTTTTACTTGAAACAGATGAATTATAAAGAGATGCCTGTTTTTTTCAAATGGTATGACACCATTGTACTATCTGAATATAAGAGCAGCTTTTGCTGGAAATACTTAAGAATCCAGTGACATGGACTGCTGCTTTGCAAGAAGTAGCATTTGCTAAAGTGCACCATAGATGGTGGTCTATATGTTCCCCTAGTAAAAGCAGTTCAAACGATGGTATCATTCCAAATCAACAAGGAAAGGTCAAAAGTACGCTGAATTTCACATAAAAAATCTATTCCCACATAAACTTCAAGTCATTTCTAAACCTATCAGATCACTTAATCAGGATTTTCTGAGTTTTATATGTTCGAATAGCATCAATCTCCTACAGCACCAAAACAATTTATCTCATATGGCTTTATTTCTCAGTATGCAACATGGCTTTTGAAATAACACTAAGCTGAAAGAGAAGTACTGCAAGGATTACAGCATATTTAATTAACAAAGCTGATAATCATCCACCTTTAAAGAACAATTCTAAAAGCATCCAGCTATGTGCTGCACACCTCTCATTAATAGCAACAGGAAAGCGACTTACACACAGCAAGTACGAGTAAATGAAACAGATAAAATGCAGAGAACAAGCTTGTTGACGATTGAATCGGATAAACTCAGACCAACTGAAAAACATCAGTGCAATTATCAGGAAGTCCGTCAGGCCAGACCAACATGCAGCCCAGTAGCTCTTTGATGATACACATTTTATGGGCAGAAGCAGAAACAAGGTCTGCCTTCAGAACAGAGGCTACTATCTAGCTGATATTTTAAGAGCCTAATTTTAGAAAACTTAAATTGCAAACTACAGCACTTAATGTGTAATCAAAAATTAGGAACTGAGCTGCTTGTTACTCATATTGATCTCATATGGAATTGTCAAAAGAAAATGGCTAAAATGATTTTTTTTCAACAGACTTCAAAATGGTAGAAATATAAGCATGAAGATGCAAAAAGGCAGAATAAATGGACTGGCTCTTTTCTTCTTTTATTTGCTTTCAGATTCCCATTATTTCTATTGTCTTCGTTTAACAATGTTACAATAGTTAACTTGGAGTGGGGAACCAGACTTTTGGAAAGTGAGAATAAAAACACAAATCACATGGCAACACAAGCTACAGTGAGAAGGCAGACATGTCCTCTCCATTATTTTGTCCCCTATAGGAAGTAAAATTTAGGTTTGACATCATCCAGAACAAGACTCTAGTTACAGATGTGTTCGTTGCCTACATCACCACAGCAGTAGCAATTAGTTAGAGAAGGAGGAGGGATGGCTGATGAAAATTTGGTGTTAATTAAAGATCTCAGAGGAACATGTCCTAAAGCCATGATTTAGGCGAAATCTGTGGTTTTAAGAACTCAATATAGATTTACTGAAGTCAGAGGCGTTATACTAATTTATACCAGTTGAATATGTGCCTTACAAAGTTAAATAAAATATTACCAACAACCATAATCATAAAAACATTGAATCCAAAATAAGCTTGATATAGCATGAGATGCCTAAGAGTGAACTTCAAGTGTGGAACAACTAAGAAATGAGCCCTAGAGGCAGCATTCGCAGCAATCTGTATTGATGTTGAAGACTGAAAGGAACAAATTAGGGGTCATAGATAAACATCTCATCACCCAGCAAACCTCAACAAAAATCAGCACCAGATTTTTTTTTCTTTTAGATCATGGCTGTAACAGCAACACAATATCTTTATTTCAATGGGTAAAGTGCCAATGAAGTCGAAGGAGGAAAAGGCAGGTGGGAATTGTCACACACACAATGTGCATCTGCTAGACAAAGTCATCTGACCCAAAAAAAAAAAAAAAAAAAANAAAAAAAAAAAAAAAAAAAAAGGCCAGCAAACAAATAAAAAAAAAAAACCCACAGACATCCTGGGATATTTATCTGAGATAGAATCATCTGTTAAGTAGAAGTTACGCGGAGTGCAAAGAAGGGCAAAAATTAGACTCGAATAGCATAAGGAGCAAACATGTCTTTATATCCAGAGTACCAAAATTTAGTTTTCTATTAAAAATAGGTCAAAGTCTGTAATCCAACTATGTCATAGCACTGCACCACTTTTTAGAAATTTAAGTGCAGCCCTCTCAGAGTTCAGGGTACCCCTAAGATTTCTTCCTTCTTAGAAATCAGGGCATGACTCAGATATTAATGTGAGTTTAACAGTAAAAGCAGTAGTAACACTACTCCAGCACCACTGGAGATGCAATATAGTATTTCAAGTGTAGAGGACAAAATGATGGACTGTAGCATTAAGTTCAGCTGTCATACAACTAAAGGTGGGATTTTTCTATGCACAAAGGCAATGGATACTGAAATGGAGAACAAAATAGGAATATGAGGGGGAAAAAAAAGAGCTGTATTTGTGCAAGCAGTTGCTTTTGCTATAAGAATAGCTCGTAGAGAAAACAGAGCTGCAGGCTACATAAGAGCCCAAGAATCCAGGTTTACCCAGGGAAATGATAGGCCTTTTAATCCACTTGTCCAAGGTTCATCTATCAGTTTAGCTCAGCTCAAACTGCCTGTTATTTCCATACATTTCTGCACAGTTGTGGTATTTTGCTTAAATATTAATTTCAGAGACTGTCTTAATATTAATTTCAGATCTACCTTTCCTTCACTTACTCAGAAATGCTCTGAAAAAGACATATTAAACATTTATTAAAGATATATAATTAAAAAAAATTACAGCAAATGCCTATCAATCTTTGCAGAGATTTTTAACTCTTGCTTAAATTTGGGGAAATGAATTGTCACACACAATACAAGATTTTGTAGGATGATTATCAAGTTTACTGAAAAAAAATACAGGCAGAGTATCAAGAGGTCTGAAAGAGGTCTTCAGACCTTTCATTAGGTCTGAAAGATGGTTAGCCATCTAATGTGAAAAAGTAATATTTCTAGAAAATTGAGACTAGATTTTCAGTTACATCAGAATTTGGCTGGCTCCATTTGAGAGGACAAAAAAAGCAGGAGATTGTACTTGCTCTTGTATAGCCTGTTTTGAAGAATGCAATTTTCAAATTAAAACATTTACCTTAAAATATCCAAAAAACTTTGTGTACCTCCATTGTTCTAATAAATATCTGAGAAATGATTCACCTCGTCTGAGGTTTTCCATATGCATACGGTAAGCAAAAATCATTTAAAAAATTATGCTAAATTCATCTCCATTTTATACTAAGTACTAATGCTGTGGAAAAAAAAAATTAACTTGGCATTTCATTTGGGCTTGGGTGATTGACTGAGTTATGTCTATCTCATCAGTTGAACTGTCAATATTTGTCTTCGCTTATCTTCTTAGCCTTTCTCATTTGCAAAGAAATGCAACTTAGCTTAGTTTCCCTTGAAATATAACTGAGACTATGCTGCCTCCCAATTACACTAAGTTAACAGTAAGCATACAGTCCTAGTTGATCAGCTAATAGGCTGCCCGACTGCCATATGATATTTTGACACTACCACATTTAACTTCATTTGATCTTGCTATTTTACTTTTCACATTATATACAGAAAATGTTTGAAACAAAATTCAATTTTGTTTCTGAACAAAATTCAGAATTCTGAAAAGAAAAAATAAAATACAATATTTTGAAATAAAGTGCTTCAAAGGCTATTTTTTCTTTCTTTTAATGCATTCAACACAAATTTGACAGAGACATGAAAGTTTTCCAGCTTTCCTGTCTTCATTAAATTTTGAAATGCATTTAAAATATGTTTTTTAACCTGACCTTTAAGAGATTAGACCATGGTTTCTAGTCATTCACACATGCATCTCACAGGTATACATGCTGTGATCTGTAACTTAAGAAAATTCAGTCCCACTCCTATCTTTTCTCATTCCACAGGTAGTTAAGGAAAAATTTTTTAACAGTTAGGGTGACAGATTTTAACAGGCAGACAGTTTTTAATGTATGTAGACTCTTACTGTCATTTCTTGTGTGTCTTCTAATCCTTTAAGACACTATCTGTGATTGTTTGTGGCTCCATCTCAACCTCACATCCTTTGAGTTAGAGAAAATGCCTCCTTCAATTTCATCATTATTTTTTTCCAATAGTCTAATACATCCTAAAATTATGCCTGGTTTCTTCAGGGCAGTCTACTAAGATTGACTCTGGCCCCGCAAGTATTTCCATAGCAACAAAATACTACCTCTCACTCCTCAGGCAGGCAGATTTGTTGACCAGTTTCTCTTCACAGTTTTGGGAAAACTGGCAACATCCTGAGAAACTACCTGCCCAGTTTCCTAGAACAGTGTTCCCTCATGTCTTTCCCTTGTTCATGAACTTTCATAGAGAGAAATCAAATATATTTAAATCATTAATCTTTATAAAATACAATGTTAT